ATATATATATATATATATATATATATATATATATATATATATATATATATATATATATATATATATAATCGCTGTTTCTTCAACATCGATCAGTTGACGTTAATGTATCACTTAATTTTTACTGATTTTTTTTGTTCTGCTTAAGTTTTATTTAATTATACGCGATTAATTAATGCGAAGAAAAAATCTTGCAACGGCGACGGAAGAAAAATATATGTACTTTTCTTTTTTTTAATTAAGCTTTTTTTTAGCAGCTGCAAACTGGAATTTGTAAGATTATCATTAATTGGATTCATCAATTTTTTATATTTGTAAAATTACCAATACTGTTTATTGCTGCGGGTGTATTATTATTGTAGCAAATATTATATCTGTTACTATCGCCATTATTGCGCAAAATCTTCAGGAAACAAGTGTATATAATATCTTTTCCTTTTGTATTCTGAACGAAATGTATATTTTAATAAAATATTAAAAATGTAGAATGTCTTGTATAACATTATTGCAATTATCATTATAGAGATTCTACTTCGCAAATTAATTGTGAAGTTGTATTGAAAATATAAATTATATTGAACTTATATTGAAAATAATAATATTAATTCATTATTGCATCATGTCTAGGTCCTAAGCAAGTATTCACACAATTACACTAAACATGGAGTTTATTAACATTATATAGTTTACTCATTATTTAAAATTGAAGAAAATAATCTTAATATTAAAACAAAAATAGTAATATAATAAAGTAAAAAGAAATAAGTGCAGCTATAAAATTAAAGGATTATTTTTCTCAGTCACAAAAAAATAAAATTCAACAAGCTGTAATTTTGACAAAAATAAAATAAAATAGTTCAAGAAGCATTTTATAATTTAACATATCTAATTTTCAGATATTTTATCAAATACAAAGTTCAATCATTCTTTACAATGCTACATAAACATAAGTCAAAATAAGTTTAATGTAAAATTTTTTGATGAAGTTTTTTAAACTGTGTACTCCACATGAATAAAACATTATAGATGAATAAAATTTACAACACACATTAGAAAGTGTTGTTCTTTCTCTTAAACATACATGCTTGCAGATTGCGATGTAATTTTTTCCACTGAATTATTCAATATTGAGGCAGAAATATCCATTTAGCTTTTATTGTCTACAAAAGACAAACCAGTCAGTGTTTAATATTTCGATGTTGATTAAAGAATGAATAGAAAACTAAAAGTACTCTCTTTAAAATATATATATTGAATTTTTAAATGCTAATAATCTTTTACAATATAAAAAATCAAACTGAAAAATTTATTCGAATATTGAACTATCACTATTTTTAGTAAATGTCAAGGAGACGGGCTTCCTTACCAATTTGCCTGAAACTTTGAAATATTGAATATTTTATTGTGCAAAACAAGAATATAAAAGTTAAAATCGTTCACTTTTTAAATAAAACAAAAGTTATAAGGTGCTAAAAAGTGACAAGCTTCATCTATAGTCTGCTTAGCGTCCCACCTGGGATGCGTTCCAAAATTCAACCTTGGTTACCATCTTCTATAGTATAACATGAAATATAGAACTATGGTAACCAAAGTTGAATTTTGGAACGCACCCAATGCTCGTCTGTTTTTATCTGTTCAATGGCTGCGTTCAGCAGAGAAAGCTGCTTTGTAACTGTTATAAAATTCGTGAATCTAATTGGAGCATGCTCTTAATTTTGGTTGAATCCAAGAGTATGTACTAATCAGATTCACGAATTTTACAACAGTTGCAAAGCAGCTTTCTTTGCTGAACGCAGCCAATATCTGTTCAATGGCTGCGTTCAGCAGAGAAAGCTGCTTTGTAACTGTTATAAAATTCGTGAATCTAATTGGAGCATGCTCTTAATTTTGGTTGAATCCAAGAGTATGTACTAATCAGATTCACGAATTTTACAACAGTTGCAAAGCAGCTTTCTTTGCTGAACGCAGCCAATATCAGTGTTCTGTCTGTCTAAAGCGCATGCGTGACATTTGCTCCTCCACCATAGTCTGTGCGCAATAACAGTACATATATTATATTTTTATATAAATTATATAAATTATAGACTATTATAGACACTTTCCATATTTATTTTTCTTATTAATTATCAATTACTCAGTTTCTTTAATAAATCTGTTTACATTTTGTCACCACGCTTGCGCATTGCGATCATAAAACACTTCCCCACTCTCTTCTATAGAGCCAATAACCGCCTATCTTTTATCCTTCAATGTGGTTCACTCTTACTTATAGGAAAATATCTCTTCTATCCATATAGTAGTATTACATATGTCTGAGGGAGTTTATAAATTAGGCATTAGTGATAAGTTCAGATTTATATATAATCACGCTTATTTTTGGTAAAATTAACACAAGTCCATGGTGGTGAGATTAAAAAGATCATCATGACGATGTTCGAAGTACTGAGGAAAGACTATAGTGTGAGTACAGCGTTTAAAAGGAGCGATATGGCGTGTGAAACTGCCGGCTTTTGAAGTTAACCTCTTTAAGTTGACGTATTTATAAAACATTTTGCCTCATTTTAGGTCTATCTGCAACAATATTTTAAGCTTTCGGACGTTTTGTCGTTTCAAAAGAAATGCGTCGATCGTTGTGCGAACGACGGAGACAGAAAAGCGGCGATTGATCAAGCACTGAGAGACACTCTCTTGATAGTGTTAACGGAGAACTCCTCCGGCAATGTGCATTCCCTTGAGTTATACATTACGTTTTGCATAGAACTATGCAGAAAGGACTTAGCAACGGCAAGTATGCCGGTAATGTTGCTTGGTGATATTTTTGATTCAATGACTCTGGACAGATGTGTGCAGTTGTTTACCTTTGTTGAGAACAATGTCTCCGTATGGAAGGAAGATCTATTTTTCAGTGCCTGCAAAAATAATTTGTTGAGAATGTGCAACGATCTGTTGAGAAAACTATCACGTTCTCAACAGACAGTATTTTGCGGCAGAATCTTATTGTTCCTTGCCAAGTTCTTTCCCTTTTCTGAAAGATCTGGTCTGAACATTGTTAGTGAGTTTAATCTTGAGAATTACACAGAATTTGGATCTGAGAAGGCTGAGGGAGACGAATTGGAACAGATCAACAAGGATGACGATAAGTTGGAAAATAAAATACCAATTGATTATAACTTGTACAGAAAGTTTTGGGCACTGCAAGACTTCTTTAGAAATCCAAATCAGTGCTACAATAAGATGCACTGGAAGGTCTTTTCAGCTGTAAGTAATTTCTCTCTGTGACCAAGTAAATATTAGATTGATGCAAAAATTATGTCAAGTTTGTCAAATAAGATTGAAAACTGAAATTATTCAACTTCAAATAATAATATTGTCTATTAGCCATGTTATGCCACAGATAAAAGACCAATTCTAATTTTTACTTATTAAATTCAAATATAGCAAGCAAAATGTCCTATTAGTAACAGTTTTAGAGACACATGACAATGGTTCCTTATACATTTTCCCTAAAAATTAATATTATTTTTATGTTTGGTAAGCCTTTGCAGAAGTATGCTAATACCGCAATGTTAAAATCAATATTTTCATGGTGAGATCATCCTGTTAGGACCAAATTGTTTTAATGCCTTATCAGGATGGTTTATTGACTGCTTCCCTGTGTGAATTTTCTTTAGTTTAGCTGAGAACTTAAAAGGAGGTGTTATCTTATTTTAAATGTTATTTATTTTCTTAATGTTATGCTTTAACCATTGTTAACAGTGTTAACTGTGTAAGTAATTGTAACAGCATTAAATTTTTAGTAGAATTGCAATATATGATTCAGATCCCTCATGTTTATTGCAAAATCTGTACATTGACTTTATAATACTGGTTAAAAATCCAACTATGCTTTTCTCAAAAACGTCACAATTATTATTTCTTAGCATCTTATAACTTTTGTTTTACTCAAGAAGGACGATTTTAATTTTCATATTCGTTTTTTGCGCAATAAAATACACAATATTTCGAAGTTTCAGGTAAATCGGCGTGGAAGCCTGTCTCTTTGACAATTATTATAAACTGTTTAAAATTATCATTTATGATTTATAAAAATAAAATGAATATTGACTTAGTCTTTTTTTTAAAACGTACAAAGATTTGCTATTTGTCTTTCAATACCCGAACTTTCTAAGAAAATTTAATAGAAAAATGACAAATAATTTATACCAACTTATTATGTTTATATAAAACTTTACCACATAATTATTTAGCTATATAAGGTATTATATAAGTTATATAAGCTACTATAAGCATATATTTTTTACAGCATGCATCTAATGTGCTATCAGCATTTTCATCTTTTAAATTGGAAGAGCAACGTAGTTATCCAACAACATGCATAAAAATGGATTCTTCAATGGAAGGCTCTCACAAGGAAACTCACTACTTTGCCAAATACTTGACTAATCAGAAATTGCTGGAATTGCAGCTGTCTGATTCCAACTTCAGGCGATATGTATTGCTGCAGTTTCTCATTCTATTCCAGTATCTGAATAGCACTGTAAAATTCAAGGCGTAAGTATTCCCAATACTAATGCAACATGATAAATACCACGTATGAAAAGATTCACAAGTTCCTTTCTTCACATACACACATACACACATACCGAGTTAGCAAATTGCTCGTGAATGAATTAGTGAAATGCCTCTGAATAGTCATAAAACGATGTTTGTTTTTCAAAGCTTCCTTGCCAGTGGCTATGAGACAAGGTCTGCTTTCCTTAAATTAGATGTACGATGACATGTATGTTACCGAGTCACTATGATGTTTGTCTCTTTTAAGTGAGACGCACGAGCTTAAGCCGGATCAAGTGGAATGGGTGAAAGCTACCACAGATCAAGTGTACGCTCTACTAACCGAGACACCACCCGACGGACCGGCGTTCGCAGAGACAGTAAAAAATATCCTGAAACGTGAGGAGCATTGGAACGCGTGGAAGAATGAGGGTTGTCCACCGTTTAAGAGACCAGCGTTGGACATTGGCGCTGACGAGGAGCCGCGGAAGCCAAAGAGACCAAAACGAAGAATCGGGGACGTTATCAGGGACGCGCAAGCAGTTGGCAAATATCACATGGGAAAGTAAGTTGCCTCAGTGCTCTGAAGTAGATGATACTTGATACTGAGAAATGAGTGTACAACTTGCTTGATCTGGCTTCCGAGTTAGTGCTGCATTCTTCATGAATTTGCTTCACAAACAACTCAGTTCGCTTCTTTAGGGAAAAGAAGAATCTGATGTTTTGAGGAAATGAATTGGAATGTTCATGAAACGTCGGAAATAAATCTACAAGACTTGACATCAACTTGAAAGTCAACTCAAGCATTCCCCCACATTACGAAAACTTAAAATATTAGAGTATACAATTTAGATTTATGTTACTTTTCGATAGTCCAGAACTTACGAAATTGTGGAATCTGTGTCCTGACAATCTGGAAGCTTGCAAATCTAAGGACAGAGATTTCCTTCCTTCTCTGGAAACATATTTTGAGGATGCCATAGTGGAGTTAGATCCTGCCGCGATGGTCGATGATAAATATAAGTAAGCGCCGTTCTTTTCTCTGTTTTTGTGTAAATCTATAGTGATATCTCTCTCATTGATGACATTATGCTTATACAGGAAGGTGAATGACGGAAATTTTGGTTGGAGAGCTCTGAGATTGTTGGCGAGACGAAGCCCGCATTTCTTCGTTCATGGCAATTATCCCATAAACAAATTGCCCGAGTATCTTGAGACGATGATAAAAAAAATTGCCAAAGATCGTCCGGTGGATATCTGGTTACTCGTTGTCTTTCTATGAATATGTCTAACTTGAATTTATTTATTTATCATTGACGATGTTTTATAGCAAACGCAGTCCGATATGAAATTGGAAACTGAGGAAACACCACCGCCAGAATCCAACGATCAGGAATTCAACGAGGATGTCCTCAAGCAAGAAAGTGAACAAGTTGATTCCGAGAACGTTGACACGAAAACTAGAAAATTAAATAAAGTCACACCGGAAATGGTAGCGAAATTATCAGAGAGTCTGAAAAACGATTGGAAGAAGCTGGCGACAAAATTTGGTTATACCAACGATGAGGTAAGCACAATTTCCTCTTCGTAGAAATGTGACGTTGTTCATAACAATAAAATTTGAGCGTGCAATATGCATTTTAGATTGCTTTCTTCCAAAGTAAATCAACACCGTACGAACAGTGCAAGAGTATGCTTGAGATATGGGCGGAGGAGGATGAGGATGCATCGGTGGAAAATTTAGCTTACATCTTAGAAGGCTTGAAATATACAGAAGCCTTAGCAGTGCTCAAATCTTAAATATACGTTTTAGTAAATTTATATTTCTTTATATACTCAAGGAGATACCATATTAAAAAAACTTTATCGGTAAAATATTGAAATTTGTCTACAAAATTTACGTATATTTATATAGAATTATAAATGTTGCGTACGTGAATTGCGAAAATAAATTGGATTGCATTGTATATGTTTTGTGCAATATATTTTATCGTTTTTGTCACAGCACAGACAATCCATTATATTTGTTTATCATTAAGCAATGCACCAATCCATTTTCGCGTGGTTTTCATTATGTAAAAATATTTATAATTCCGTGTAATTAATACATAAATTTTGTTGAAAATGTCAGTATTCTGCTCGCAAAGTTTTGAATTATTAGAATTATCGATTTTATGTATATATAGATGTTTATTGACATGGTCGTGCTACTCTTCTTTCATATTTCTTCACATATATTTATCTTTTCTACAAGTAGAGATCATATATAATCATATCTTTTCTACAAGTAGAGATCATATATAAATATGAGTACGGTTGCTGATATCGTTTGATCAAAATACGTTTTCGATGCTTTTGGCAATCAGTTAGCACGCACGATGGACCATATAACATCCACAGTTGCTGGTGAAACTTAATTGCTTCGGTCTTGTGGACGGAGGCAGCCTTTTTAGATATTGCGTTACCAATCGCTAATTATTTTTTGCTAAAGAAAAATAAAGATTTTAACTTATTAATATAGATTTTTAATCACTCGAGAGGTAACATTTTCAATGAAAAATATTACGACGATGATATATACTTTGGAAAAACAATGATATAGAATTATGCAACTTCAACCAAGTTCTATAATCATAATTTCATCTAGTTCTTAGTATATATTACTACGACCACGCCAGCGTTCACATGTATGTGATGTTCGAAACTAAATATCTAGAATCAGTAACACTTTTCATATTACTACATCTGGATTAGCTGTATCACATAATTTACAGCATCTAAATCCAAAACGAAATAATTAGGAACACGTAACAATCTAAGAAATTGTCTTAAAATTGTTAACGCTAGGAAATTTTTATATCATTCAAAGGTTTTTTTGTCACATTTTACAAAATAATGTATTCCAGTACTGAAAATGTATAGAATATTTGCTAAAGAAAAATCTGATGGATTTATAAAATTTGTGCAAATAAAAAAAAATCGATTCAATATTTCTTATAGAATTTGGTACTTATTTTTTTAAACGAACGGTAAAGCAGGTGTTCGTCAATTCTTTCAATAACGTATTATATATCTCTATGATAGAATAAGAGGACTTCTGATTCGCTGTTGAGTAACATTATTTGATAAAATCAATATGCGTCTGATCCATTGTTTCCATTATTTTTGAAAATAGTAGACTGTGATTGGTTAAATTACTTGCTTATGACTAATAGTTTATTGAAGAAGACTCATAAAGGTATCAAAAGAACAAACAACACGAATAAATTTTAAATAAAGTAAGAAGTGCAACCATTTCGGTCAGTCCCATTGGTTAATCATTGGTCTGTTCTTTTCAGCTGAACTGGTGCAATAAGTTAAAGTGAGATAAGTATATGTTTTCTCACTTTAACTTATTGCACCAGTTCAGCAGTGCGGCTGAAAAGTACAGATTGTATATTGCACTTTAACTCCATCTGGAAAGTAGAAAACCTCTAGTACAGAAAATCGCCAACTTAGTCACGTGACCAGCTGATTGGCTGGCATAAATATATACGGATTTAGACATTGCGACGCCAATGCAGAACAAATGCTTATATATATATATATATATATATATAT